AATTCTCACTGTTCGTTTCTGAAGGTGCAAATAAAAGTTGCCGTGGCGACCACCTACCACGACCTGGATGACCTGTTCAGGCTCCATCCCGTCCACTGGGAACCCGTTCACCTCCATGATCCGGTCGCCTGCGTGGAGCAAACCTGCAAACACACGGAAATACAAATAAAAATCAAAGCTGGGTCATTTCACATTTCCTTTCAAGCTTCAGAGTGTTTCTTTGAACCTTCTGTCTTTACATTAAGCAACAGAAATGTACCTACAAACATTTCAAAGGTCATTTTTAATACAGGTTTTGAAGGTGAATAATTCCAGTTCAGTTTCAAGTGGGACATAGTTCTGCCGTCTCAATCCACGAACACGTCAAGTCAAACCCAATCATTCACAGAAAGACAAACTTCCTCTCACCGCTTCGATCAGCCAGACCGCCGTGAATCACCCGGGCGATAAAAATCTCTCCTGTGATCTCGTTTCTCTTTATAGTTGCTCCCTGAAACAGAAAAAAAAAAGAATGAACACCTGACGTGCTCAGACTCCTGAAGACGAATGAAAAACAGGGAGGTAGCGATGACGGGATGGAAACTCTGTGGAGTGAAATGTGAAGAAGATCACACGGATGAAATGAAAGCTCCTGAGATGAAGCTCCAGATGAAGATGGAAGAAGTGCAGTAAAAGTAGAGTACCACTGTGAGTGTTTGGAGGTGAGCCGCTCTGAAAGGACCCAACAAGTCCACTTTTGTTGGCATCTCTCACGTCGTCTTCTTCCTCTTCTTCTTCTTCTTCCGCCGGGTCGAGCGACCTCCTCTGGCCTCCTTGGACTCGTCCAGCAGCCCGTTGGTCAGCGGATGGTCGCCGTGGCTCTGCTGCTTCTTCTTCTGAGGCAAAGGGGTGTTTTTGGTTCTCAGGGTTGCCCGAGGAGATCCACGGCAGGAGGCCGAGAGGCAGGTGGTGGGCCGGGAGGTGGAGGGAGCGTCCATGGAGCTGCTGAGCGAGCTGGAGGACGAGGAGGAGGAGGAGGAGGAGGAGGAGAAGGAAGGCGGCGAGAAGAGGGAACATCTGGACTGGTGGATCAAGGACGGACGGTGCCCTCCGGTCTTTGGGCTTTTCTTGGACTCGGCGGGTTTCAGGGTGTTGACCTCTGTCCTGGTCTCGGCCAGCAGCATCTGCAGCCGGTCCACCACCTGCGTGAGGAGCACCAGCGCCTGCGAGTTGTCCTGCACCGTCTCCGACATGCGCTCGGTCGCCGCCGCCATCCTCTCACCCAGCAGCTTGATGTCCTTGGTGCTGCTCTCCATGGAGCTGGCGGCCAGCTGCACCGTGGTCCTCAGCTCGTCCAGGCTCTCCTGCTTGGCCAGCTCCACGGGGGGAACCTCCAGGACGCGATGGGGCCGCATGGGGCTGGGCGGCGCCGTGCGGATGCAAGGGCTTTGGGTCCGAAGCCTCTGCGGCAGGCCCGGCGCGAGGTAGCCGCAGTAGGGCACCGTGAGGCATGGAGGGGACATGGTCCAACGGCGGGCGGTGGGAAGAGGAGATGGAGCGCCGGCGATCCGTCCTGGTTGGTCCTCGTCTGCGCTGTCGAGCTCTTCGACGACGTTGTCTCCGAGGAGAAAACAGACACGATTAGTCCATGAAAGTAGACGGATGGATGGATGGATGATGGATGAAGGGGACGAGTGAAGACGATGTTTTATATCCCAGAAATTCACATTCAGTTCTTGTATTCAGCTTCATTTAACTGCACCAAATGTGAAATTTAAACACTGAATGTCGAAGCATAGAGAGATTTATATGTCCAGGTCGGATTATAGCCAACTTCAGAGCAGCTGGATTCAATTTTTAAACTAAAACTTCAATTTCAAATGTATTTTTTTATTGCAGTTGTTCAATTTAAACAATACAAACTCAAACTATGCCTTCAAATTCAAAAATAAGCAACTCTTGGACAACGTTGTCTCCAAGGACATTGTTAATCCATGAAAGTCGATGATGGATGAAGAGTTGTGACGCAATGACGAGTGATGAGCAGGACCTCGTTTCCCAGAAGCATCTATGAGGCTGTTTTCAGTGTTTTTTAACTGCCTTTACTTTTAAGCTTCTATCTTGGCCTTTATAAGGAGAACCATACCTCCACTACCTTTATCAGAACAGACTCCAGATCTGCCGTCATTGGATATGAAAATACTTCAGCCTTGGTATCACAGAAAAAGTTCTGGCTCTAATCAGATTCAACAGCCAAAAGGTCCAGGACTTTCTGTTGTAGTGAAAATGAACCCACAGCGAGGAAAAGCCGTGTATTCAGAAACCCTTCTCGGGGAAACGAGGTCCAGGTGTTTCCTTACCGATCAGCACCGAGCTGTAAACTGAAGGAGCTGATCGGTTCAAGCTTTGCTCCCACAGCAGGTTGGTGTAACAGAGCCTGCAGTGGTTTGTCGGCTGAGGCGTTGGAGGGGTCGGCTGGACCGCCGCCGGCCGGCACGGCAGCTCAGTCGGCGGGTAGCTGCCTCTCCGGACGCGACACCGTGACGAGTCCTTCGGGTTCTCGGCGACTCGGTGAAGCCCCTGCATGGTGAAACGCCTCAGGGCGTCCCAGTGGCTGCGCCTCCCCGCTCTGGAGCTCCGTGCACAGGGAGAGGAGGCGGCGGGAGGCCGGTGGTGGTCGGTCAGCTGGAGGACAACACAGGCTCAACTCATTCATATTACAAAGAATAAAAAATTACCAAGTAACTGAATATCTCATGGAGTCCAGTTAAATCTGTCATTTAAAAGGGATATGAACATAAATGTGTAAATCCACCTCGAGCGGGTTTTTCTTAAAAACTGAGTGAACGAGCAAGAAAGAGACGAGTCAAGGAGGCAACAAAGACATTTATGACTCCTCTGAAGGAGGGATCAACCCCTTCGAGAGAGCTCAAGATCAGATTCTTCCGGGCGACAGTCGAGTCCATTCTCCTGTACGGTAGTGAATGCTGGTCCCTCAACACATCTCTGGAGAAGTCTCTTGATGGTACATATACCAGGATGCTCCGGGCTGCTCAAGACATCAGCTGGAGGGACCATGTTTCTAACATCACGCTCTGTGGTGACCTGCCACGCATCACAGATCGTATCACCTGGAGGACACTTGGCATTACTTGGCATAGGGAGCTTCCCAACAGCCAGCTCGTTCTTTAGGAGCTATCCCACGGCTGGTGGAAGCCGGGAAGACCTGCCACCACCTTCCTGGACACCCTAAAGGGGGACACTGGTGGGACCACCTCAGCCGAGCTCTCCGCATGTATGACCAACAGGATGGATTGGAACCAAAGACGTGAAGCTCGGCTGAGGCCACCATGATGATGATGATGAAGGAGTTACAAGAAAGAGACCAGATAGGGAGGCCACCAAGACACGTATGGGTTCTCTGTAGGAGTTACCCGAAAAAGACGAGTAAGGGGGAGGCCATCAAGAAACCTATGACTCCTCTGTAGGAGTTACAAGAAGGAAACTAGTGTGGGAGGCCATCAAGACATTTATGGCTTCTTCCAAAGAGATATAAGAAAGAGACAAGTGACAGAAGCCATCATGACATCTATGACTCCTTTGAAGGAGTTACAAGGAAGAAACTAGTGAAGGAGGCAACCAAGACATCTGTAACTCCCCTGAAGGAGTTACCCGAAAAAGACCAGTGAGGGAGGCCACCAAGACGTCTTTGATTCATTGAAGGTGTTACAAGAAAGACACGAGTAAAGGATGCCACCAAGACATTTATGATTCCTCTGAAGGAGTTACTGAAACGAGAAGAGTGAAGGAGGCCTCTGAGACACCTATGATTCCTCTGAAGATGCTTCAAGCTTCAGCGACTGAGATGGAAACCTCCACGTCCACGTTGCTAACATAACAGCAGCATGTGAGGCATCCTGCAGACGGTAAATTAGCATCAGATGTCTCCCGTTTCTCTTCCAGCGGTTTGAAATTCATCTGCAGCATCGACAGGCAATTACACAAATGAGAGATTATAAAATTCAAACATCTGCTCTCCGTCAGCTGCAAAGCCCACATATTAAAAACATCCATCTGCTTACACAGCACCGCAGCTCCTCCACGGTCCAGCTCGTGTCCTGAAATATACGGACGACATCGGAGGCAAACAAACTATTAAAATGTGATACAGTAATGAGATTAGAGGCAGCTTAAAGGGCCAGTCCGCCCAAATCACAAAGCACATGCTGCTGTTTCTCTTCATGATTTGGTTTTAGATGCATCCACACAATTACAGTGAAGTTATAAAGAAAGGAAGCGTTTCCAGATTCGACTATATGGCCAAAAGTATGTGGACACCTCTGGATTGTATGTGGGTCACATTAAAACTTTTGGATTTAAGCTGCAGTGGAACAGAAACAAACTATTAAATGTTCTGCTGCAGCCCGGTTTGAACACAACAGTGACAAAGATACACAAAGACCCACAAAACATTTTCATTTCACTGTTTTCTTCCAAAGAAATCATCTGAATATCGACCACAGTCGCCTCAAACCTGCTTAATAAGGAACAACCAGAGATCTTCATAAAAAAAGGTGAAAATTTTGTAAAAAAAAAGAAAAACACTGTAACGCTCAAAAACTATAAAAGCTGCGAAATAGCAGCAAATATTTGATAATAATGAATTAAAAAAGATTTTTAGCTGATTTAATTACAGTAAAATTGTGTAACTTTATGGAAACATAATTGTAAAATCAATAATAGACTATTTCAAAAAAAAATTTCTACGTGGACATTATTTACAGTTTTGTCCTGTTTTTTCTTTTTATAGTTAGATTTAAATGAATTCTTTATTCTGTGATTTTTACGAGATTATTTTCTGTAATTATATTAAAAAAAAGGCAAATTTGTAAAATAACAGTTTAAACATTATTTACCATTTTCTATCTTTAATAGATGTCAAATGCAGTCAAGTCAAAATATAAATTAAGGCTATTTTTCATGATTTAATTCATATTAGTTTTTTTTTAAGGGAAAATCTGCAAAAAACATACAAACTGTTTTCTCAATCCATAATATTCATAATTAAAAAAAAATAATAATTAAATGTTTGTTAAATGCAATTTGCTGATTTCAATATAGTAAAAACTGCAATTTTTTAAGTTAAAATGTAAATTAAAGCTAATTTCCATGATTTAATTCTAAAAAGTTGTAATAAAAAAAAGAAAATCTGTCAAAAAAACCCCAAAACAATCTATTTTCTAAATCCATAATACACATCGTTGTTGTTTTTATAAGTAAATTTTTTTTAGATAATTATATATTTTGCTGATTTCAAGTCAAAGTGTGAATGATTGCTTTTTAATGTCATTTTATATTCATTGATTGTCTGTAAATTAACAAAAAGTAGAGAAAGTCTGTAAAACAACCTTCAACCAGACCATTATATCACGTCGAGGAGTTCTTTGAAACCCACCAGAGGCTGCTTGTTCTTCACCAGACAGACGATCCGAGTCGCCTCCTCGTCGTCCGGCAGCTCGTCGGGCATCGGAGGCAGAACCGGCTCATAGTCCTTCTGGGCCACCGAGTCGTGGGCCGACAGGAGAGCCTAGAATCATCAGAGCAGACATGAAGGTTACAGAGGTCAGCGGAGGAATAAAACACAACTTTAGAGTAAAAACATCACATTTAATGTTTTGGTCTGTGTGTTTTATGCAATAACATCCAGTTAATTACCATGTTTGTGCCTCAATATCTGACTTTTTGTTACGTTTGTGGGTTAATATCCAGATCTTTGATCCATTTGTGCGTTAACATGTAATGTTGTTTTTGCTTTTGTGCATAAACATCCAGATTCTTCATGTTTTCATGTATTAATGTCCAGATTTTTGATGCATTTCTGGATTAATATCTGTGTTTCTGATGCATTTGTGCGCTAATAACCAGGATTTTGATGCTTTTTTGCATTAATGTAGAGAATTTTTATGACTTTTTGCAATAATATCCAGATTTTGTACAGTTTTGTAAGTTAATGTTAATGTTTTGGATATTTTTGTGAATTAATATCCTGATTTTTGATGGTTTTGTAAGTTTTTATCGATGTTTTGGTGACATTTTATAATTAATATACACATTTTTTAACTTTAATGCAATAATATCCTGACTTTTTAAAAAACTTTTGTGCATTTATATCTGGATTTTTGTTACATTTATGGAGTAATATCTTTATTTCTGATGCATTTGTGCAATAATAACCAGGCTTTTGATACTTTTGTGAATTATTATCAAGACTTTTTTATATTTTCATGCAACAACATCCTGATTTTCTACTGTTTTGTATGTTTTTATCCATGTTTTATGAATTAATAAACACATTTTTTATCTGTTTGTGTATTAATATCCAATTTTTGTGCATTAATATTCATATTCTTCACCCTTTTATGCATTAATGTCCAGATTTATTTACTTCTATGCAATAATATTCAGATTTTTTGGAAATACTTTTGTGAATTTATATCCAGATTTTGTGTAGAACTATTCAAATGTTTGCTGCTTCTGTGAATGAATATCTTGTTTATTCCTTTTCTAAACTGCCTCCACGTGTCTGTCTGTATCAGACGCTGTCCAGGTGAGTCTTACCTGCAGGTGAGGCTGCCGCAGCAGGCGGTAAAGTTCTTTGGCGTCTTCAGAGCAGCCTGACAGCGATCGGATGTCTATCAGCAGCTACACAAACAAACAAACAAACAAACAACTCAACAAACGTTTCAACCTGACGATGGAGAATTTATCGTCGCTGAACGAACCTGCAGAGAAAGTCCTGATGCGTAGTCCAGAGCCGGAGCTGGAGAGTCTCTGAGGAACCTCTGGAGACACTCGTACACCTGGAAACACCGACAGCTTCACAGAAACATCCACCCTCACATGTCTACAGCTCACAGTCTGCAGTGATGTCATGCACACTTCTGGGCAGCAATATCCACCTTTATGAAGCTTTTTTGCATTACTATTTGCTACTTTTGTCTCTTTACATGCAGCTAATTGATGCTTTTGCATGTTAATAATCAGCTTTTTGACAGTTTTGTGCATTATTATTCAGGTTTATGAGCCTTTTGTGTGTCAACATGCAGGTCTTTGACTAATTTGAGCAGTAATGTTCACTCCATTGAAACTTTTTTGTGATAATATTTATGTTTTTGAGACTTTTATATGTTTTTATATCCAGTTTTTTAACTTGTGTGCCTTAATGTCCAAATCTTTGGCACTTGTGTGCATCAGTATCCAGGATTTTGATGCATTGTGCGTTTAATCAGCGCTATTAATACTTTAGTCTTTAAAAATTCAGATTTTTTGACAATTTTGTTTGTTATTATCCAACTTTTTAAAACTTTTCTCTGTTAAAATCCAAAATTTTGGTACTATTTGCAATAACATCCAAGTTTTTAATGCGTTTGTGCATTAATGTCTGGATTTTTGATACTTTTCTGCAATAATATCCAAATTGTTGATGCTTTTGTGCATTAATATTGAGATTTTTCACACTTTTGTCCTCCAATATCAAAATATTTGACACTTTTGTGGCTAAATATCCAGATTTTTAAATTCTTTTGTGCAATAATATCCTAATTGTTGATGCTTTTGTGCTCTAATATTGATATTTTTAATACTTTTGTGCAATAATGTCAAGTTTCTGGCACTTTTGTGTCTTGATGTCCAGGTTTATCATACTTCAGTCTTTAAAAATTCTGATTTTTGACAATTTAGTTTGTTATTATCCAAGTGTTTAATGCTTTTCTGTGTTCATATCCAGGTTTTTGCCACTTTTGTAGATGAACATCCAGCTTTTTAATGCAGTTGTACAATAATATCTGGATTTTCCAAACTTTTCTGCATTGATATCCAGGTTATGAATAGTCCAGTGTGTAAATATTTAGGTTTTAGACAACTTCATGTGTTCACACTCAAGTTTCTGACACTCTGGTGCCTCAATATGCAGGTTAAGAGGACAGTTTTGTGTTAATATCCAGATTTTTGATGCTTTTGTGCATTAATATCTATATTTCTGATAAGTTGGAGCATCAATATCCAGATTTTTTAAAACCTTTGTGCAATAACATCGATGTTTTTGAGGCTTTTATGCTCTAATATTGACATTTTTTAAACTTTTGTCCTCTAATATAAAGAATTTTTGACACTATTGTGCAATAATATCAACACTTTTTATGCTTTTGTGCTCTAATATTGACCTTTCTGATACATTTGTGTAATAATGTCAAAGTTCTTGGGACTGTTGTGCGTTAATATCCAGATCTTTGATGCTTCTGTAGATTAAAATCCATGTTTTTGATCCTGAATCGAATCACCAGCGGCTGGTTTTTGCAGACCTTGAGCAGCGACTGCAGCCAGGGAGCGTTGAGCAGACTGTGGAGGACCTCGGCTCCGTCGATGTCGTGGCCCACCGATTGCCTCACCTCCTCGATGACGTCTGTCAGGATCTGACGAAGGCCTGCAGCACAAAGCCACACACTGAGATGGGAGCGTGAATCGGAGCGTCTGCGTGGTGCATTATGGGTACTGACCGTGTTCTCCGAGCTCACAGTGAGGACTCAGCACCTGAGCCTCCACCGCCTGCCTCATGGTGGCGCTGACCCGGACCTGGAGCACATCAGCTGGAGGTTAGAAACACTGACAGTCTGATCAGTGAAGCTTCATGTCATCGATTCACTTCACTGCAGTGACGTTTGATTTGTTTCTAACAGCACCGTCATTAACTTATTTATAGCTTCCAGCTCCTATTTTACATTTTTTAAGTGTTTTATTGTGTTTGTGTGAACGTCTTTTGCACTATTATAGTGAAGTTTTACATAATAATACATTCATTTTTTGCATTTCTGGCTCGGTGTGATTTTATGTGGGTTTATATCGAGCTTTTTTGCACTTTCTTTTCATTACTGTCCAGATTTTTCATTTTTTCGTGTATTAACATCAAGATTTATGATGATTTTCTGCATTTACATCCAGATTTTTGAGGCTTTTGGGCAATAAAATCCACAAGTTTGATCATTTTGTGCATTAATATCCAGGTTTATGACAGTTTTAAATATTAATATCCAAATTTGAATGCATGAATATCCGAGTTTTGCTAATTTTGTGCAATAATATCCACATTTTTAATGCTTTTGTGCATTAATATCAGGAATGTTGATACGTTTGTACATTCCTATACATATATTGGAGACTTTTAAGCAATAAAATCCAGAATTTTGAGAATTTTGTGCACTTTTTTGACAGTTTTAAACATTATTATCCACATTTTTCACACTTTAATGCATATAATAAAAACTAAAAATAATAATATCCACATTTTCTTTGCTTTTGTGCATTTATATCCAGAGTTTTGATACGTTTATGCATTCCTGTACATACATTTGAGACTTTTGGGCAATACAATCCTGAATTTTGATAATTTTGTGAATTATTATTCAGATTCTGATGCTTTTATGCATAAATATCCACGTTTTTGACAGTTTTAAACATTAATATGCACATTTTTTACGCTTTTAATGCATTAACAACCGGAGTTTTAACAATTTTATGCAATAATATCGAGATTTTCTTTGCATTTCTGAGTTAATATCCAGATTTTTAATGTTTTTGTGCATTAATGTCCATGTTTTGATAATTCTGTGCATTAATAACCAGAGTTTTGATTCATTTGTGCATTCCTATATGCATATATGAGACTTTTGGGCAATAAAACTCTAATTTTGTGCAATAGTATCCACATTTTTTATGCTTTTGTGCATAAATATGCAGATTTTTGATTGACATTTATGCATGAATATCGAGATTTTTTATAACTTTGTGCAAGAATATCCAGATTTTCTATGCATTTATTCATTCCTATCCAGATTTTTGAGACTTTTGGGCAGAAATATTCAAAGTTTTGCTCATTTTGTGCAGTAATATTCATGTTATCACACTGTTCTAAGGTAATAATCGAGGTTTTTATGCTTTTGTTCAATAATAATCAGCCTTTTGATACTTTTATTCATCCACATGCAGCTTTTTGACGCCTTAGTAAGCTAATATCCACATTATTGACACTCTTGAGCATTAACATCTGGATGTTAAATGGTCTTGTGCGTAATTTCCAGGCTTTTTAAACACACAGCTGCAAGTTACTCCGCTCACGAGAACATCAGTCATCTCGACGGCAGCAAAGGCTTTAAATGCAGAATTAATCTCATCTGCTGGTTTGTAGAATATTAGGAGGTGGAAGATGAATTTAAGGATCTTCAAGGACATTTAAGGACTTAGTTGTCACTGTTTAAGGATCCGTTTGTTACCAGCAGGTTACAGTTTAGCTGCTCTCCATGATTGTTCCCAAAGAAAATCCTGGTTTTCTGTCGTTTTCAATCAAACACTTAAAGACCTAAAACGACTTTTCTGCAGCTTTACGGAACAAGATTAGCTGAAAACTGCAGCGTCAGCTTTAGTGGATTTCACAAATTTGCAGTTAATGAAGTTCACAGCTGACGAGCAGCGAACCCGAGCGTCTCTGAGCCAGAACCAGGTCGGAGGCGGAGAGTCCCGGCTGCACCAGTGTGAACGGGGTCAGGGGTTAATGGAGCGCTTCACGGCAGCTCGTAAAAGCAGCGCTGATGTAAATACAGAGATGTGCAGATTATAATCTCCTGCTGCACCAAACTCAACACAGGCACAGAAACTCCGGCCGCGGTTTCAGCCTTCGTCTGGTCAGCGTGAAGAAAGAAATCCATCTGGAGAAACGCCAGAGTGTAAAGAATAAAGCAGCTCCTCAGGGGGAGGTTCCTGTAGTTAACGGAGAGGATGATCCGTGTGGCCTCTTAAGAAACCAGCCCGTCTGCGTCTTACCTGAACACCTGAAGCCTCGCGGGTCCCTCAGGTCGTCGCCCGGCGGCTCCTGCAGGTCCGAGCTCCGCTGCAGCTGCAGACAAAAAAACGCAAACCTGCTGATGTACACGAGCTGGACTCTGGAGACCGGACGGAGCGCTGAGCTTTCATCGAGCTCCGGGGAACAAGAGAGGAGAGAGAGGGCTGTAATCTCCCCCGATCCCACTTAATCCCGGGCAAGTGAGCCGCCTGCCTCTGGCCACCGGAAGCCGGTTCCTCCCTCACCGGCTGGCTGGTTGCCGCGGAGCTGCCAAATCTTCTTAACTCTTTCAGCTTTCAGCGGCACGCAGGAGAGGAGGGCCGAGCGAAGGGGAGGACGTGGAGGTGACACCTGGAGAGAGGCGAACAGGCATCAAGTTCCTCAACGACGAGTCAGGAAGGAGAAGAAGAATTAGACGAGAAGAAAACAGCTTAATAGAAACATCTGGAGTTCAAGGACAGCAGAAAAACTTCCTAAAACCAGGAGAGTCAGGAGCCAACGTAATCTCCAGATTGGTTCCCAGAGAACTTGGACCAAATCTGCCCTCCCTCCCCCTGGAAACAAAGTCCTAAGATGCTTTATTGTCCCCAAAACACTGAGATTATCTGCCGGCTCTTGACACGAAAAAGCTTAAAGCTCCGAACGCAGAAGCTCGATTCTCCTCCGACGCGCAAAAAAGAGCAACGACCTGCTGGATCTGTTGACGGACCACCTGCCTCGAGTGGAAAAACTCCTCCTGACCTGTAATTAAACAGAGAAATCAGTCAAAACGCCTGAAAAGTCCAGTTTGAAACACAGTTAAAGTGAAAACAAACACCTCAATCAGCTGATGTGCTTTAACTCCATCAGCTTAGACAGTTTGAAGTGAACATTTCTGTGTGAATATTCAGATTTTTTAAACTTTTGCACGTCAATATCCAGATTATTCACACTTCAGTGCATCATTATTGACATTTCTGACAGTTTTGGACATTAACATCCAGATTATTTAAGTCTTTTGTGGAAGTTTTTAAACCAGTTTTGAGTTAAAATCCAATGTTGTGACACATTTGAGCATTAATATCTATCATTTTTTAAAAACTTTTGTGCATTAATAGGCTTTTGTTTTAAACATCTTTGTAAGTTAATATCCTGGTTGTTGAAATTTTGTGCATTAATATCCAGATTTGTGTTTCTTTTGTGGATAATAATCAGGTTTTTGAAACTCTTTTACGTTAATATCCAGTTTTGTGACACATTTGTCCAATAACATCCAGGTTTTTGAAAGTTCTGGACATGAATTTCCACATTTCTGTTTCTTTTGTGGAATATTAACAAAGTTTTTGATGCTCTCTTATGTTAATATCCAGTTTTGTGACACTTGTGTGCATTAATATCTACATTTCTGACAGTTCTGGACATTCATATGCAGATTTTTGTTTCTTTTTAGGAGCAATAACCAAGTTTCTGATCGTGTTTTTAGTTAATATCTAATTTTGCAACACATTTCTCCAATAATATCCAGCTTGTTGACATTTTTGGACTTGAATATCCAGATTTCTGTTTCTTTTGTGGAGTAATAAGCAGGTTTCTGACACTGTTTTGAGTTAAAATTCTATGTTGTGACACTTTTGAGCATTAATATCTATCATTTTGAAACTTTTGTGCGTTAATATCAACATTTTTGACAGTTTAGGACATTAATATGCAGATTTTTGCTTCTTTTATGCAGTAATAAGAAGGTTTCTGCTCGTGTTTAATGTTAATATCTGATTTTGTGACATATTTGTCCAATAATATCCAGCTTGTTGACAGTTTTGGACATGAATATCCATGATTTTTGTTTTTTTGTGGAATAATAACCAAGCTTTTGATACTCTTTTATGTTTATATCCCATTTTGTGACACATTTGTGCCTGAACATCCAGGTTTTTAACAGTTTTAAGTGTTAATATCGAGGTTATTGACACTTTTGGTCATTTTTATCCATATTTCTAACCCATTTGTGCATCAATATGTAGATTTTTGTAACTGTTGATGATTAAAATCCACATTTTGGACCATTTTAAGTGTTAGAATCCAGGTTATATCTACTTTTGTGCATTGATATCCAGGTTTTTTCAACTTCTGAGCATTAAAAACAAGGTTTTTGACGCCTTTGTAAGTTAACATCTGGATCATTGATGCTTTCGTTCAACACTATCCAGGTTTAGAGCATTAACATGAAGGTTATTGACGTTTCAGCAGATTTTTAATGCATTTTTTGCCACTTTGGTCGATTAAAAATCAGGTTCTTGACACCGTTTCCAGATAATATCCACGTTTTTGAGACACAGTCAGCTAATAAACAACAATTTAACGAGGCTACACATCTGATGGAGCCTCTTACTGTTTAAAGAGGAACCATGACGAAGACCTATGATGCGTTTAATGACCTCTGGCCGGAGCTCATGTCTTCTAGATAAATGTGCAAAGTCTGTCGGCCTCTCAAAGCCCAAGAAACAACCCACAAACAGAGCTGATCGATGACCAACAATACACATGAAGCTTCAGTCACATCCATCAAACGACTTTATTGCCCTTCGTCATCGTTTAAAAGGTGCAACACATCCGACATCAGCATGTAAAAGACACACGGGTGGGCGTCCGGGACACCAAAGTCCACCCACGAAACTTCTACTCACAACAACATGAGGTGCAGCCGGCGAACCCGACACGAGCTTATGAACTTCAGCTTATAGGAAACACAGTCTGGACGTAGGAACACAGCTCGTCAGTTAGTGAACAACACAAGTGACGCTTCTGCATCAGTCAGTCAGTCGCACTGGAAACACCAGCTTTATTAATGTTCACGTCGTGGTTTAGTGAAATGACAAAGTCGCAGCAGAGGAAGGAGAAAGAGCAGCACTAAATCCCTGGTCGCCAAATTAATGTTCAATCCAGCGGATGTTTTGATTATTTTTGCCCAGAAGTGTGTCGATTTGGGGGATGAGCTCAAAAAAAAAGAAGAAAAAAGACAATATTGCTTCACTTCAGGCACATATGGTCTCAGCAGGGATGGAAGAGCAGAAAGTAATTCAGAGTGATTAAACTCTGAGGATCATATCGAAGCACGCGGCCTCGAAACGCAAAGAAAAGCAGCAGCTCTGAGTTACTGGTACGTCTGACCGACACACAGGAGTCAGAACATCTACAGCTGTGTCAGTATTTTTATGTCTAATGGTTGTATTTGCTTTTATTAACAACTAAAAGAAAGACGACGCTGATGATGATTCAGGCCTCAAAGCAGAAACTCAGTGCAACAAAAGGGAATAAACTGAACTGAATCCTCCTGTGGTTCTAATCAGTCTAACCGCATGAAAGTGGTTCTAAAAGGAGCAGAACTTCCTCAGTTTTAACCTATGAGCTGCATCATGGAAGAGAAGTGAACAGAGGAGCTCACAAAAATGGAAAAGGAAGAAGTACAGAAGCAGCCATAGTGGCACTAGTCAGGGCTGCAGTGGACGTCCAGCTAGAATAACTCCACAGACATTGAACTACTTCCACAATTTAGCCGTAAAACACAAACAGCAGCTGATTGAGAGTTTCTGTGGAGCTCCAACAATGTGAAGGACCCTTAATAACATCAACCTCTTTGGACGGAGGACATGAAAACACCTTTGTTGCTACAAGATGAAACTTGCTGAAGGACATGAACAGAAGCCTGACGAATGTTGGAGAACATTCTTAGATCAGAGAAGGATTAAATTTGTTGGGCTCAGATGGAGTCCAGCATGTTTGGTGTGAGTCTGACCAGCGAACCATCCTGACAGTGAAGCACAGAGGATGATGTGAGGCTGCATGAGTGTAAAAGATGTTGTGGAGATGATATTTATCGATGAATGTCTGTGGATGAACCAAACACTGTCTGACTAGAAGACTCTCAGGCTGCAGGAGCTGGAAGAAGAAAAATATTCCAACATGAGAGTCACACAGGAGTTTGTACGAGGTGGGTCAGAAGAGTTCCAGGACTGGTGTCACGAAAGTTATGTGTCAAATCCAAACTACGAGTCTAACACACTCTCCCGGCCTTCTCTGCCACGTCGCCATGCTCTCCTGGAAGGATTCTCCACAGCTCCATCATCACAGCCATGACGTCGTCTTCTAAACGGGTCCCCTTGATGACCCCCTTGGGGAAGAGGAAACAATCCCACGGAGCCAGGTGGGGTGAGGAGGGAGGTTCTTCTCAGCCAGGACCTGTGGGATGCTCAGGATGTTGTGAGCAGGTTGTCATGGTGAAGCAGCCACGACTCGTCCTCTTCTGAACCAAGCAAACGGATTTCTTTGTAGACGAGCTGGTTGATCGTCTGACAGGGAAAACTTGTAGATTGTAGTTTGAAATGTGCCTTTTATGACACCAGGCCTGGAACTTTTCTGACAAACTACAACCTGGACAAGAAGCTCCTCCAATCAATCCAGCTCCAGTGGATTTGAACGACAGTGAATGCATCGTCCTGACAGTGAACGACGACTGACTTGAACCCAACAGAACACTTATTTTTGAGCTTTTCTTCGAGGAGGAGCGAGTCTGAAAGGTGCCTGTTGCTGCACTCAGCTCCTGCTGTGGGGCCTTTATCGTTTTCTAGCTGCTTTTAATTTGACAAACACTCCCAATACTTTGAAATAACGTCGTTTAAGTTCTATTGCACATATCGTGTACGTCGGTTCTGGTTGCAGAACAAACAGCAGCTTCGCCTCTGATCCGCTTCTCTCTCTGCCTGTTGTTTAACTGTCTGAGAAAACTAAAGCCGTCTGTGGCATTTAGAGGAAAAAAAAAAAACAACAACCTGCTCTCTTAAGCCCTTTCATAAAGTGGCATGTGTGACGCACATCATAAGTGTCTGACAGTTAAAAAAAGAACGGTATTAACAGATGAGCCGAGCTCTGGGCTTCATGAGGTCCGTGGTGCTCTAATGTGTTTGCATTAAGCCCAGCGCCACCTGCAACACAAAGAAACCGTCAAATGATCGATTCAGAATTCAGATTTGAGCCTCCGCCGTGGCGATTTTGCGTCGGATCGCGGCTAGCTTCCCTCCTTGGCTGCAACAAACACTGTTATCCACAAATAATACAAACAGTTGGAGGCTACCTGCAGGTCAAAGCCTCCTGTTCACACCGTCAAAGGAAGATTTAACAAACATTAAAGTATCTCAGAGTCTTATTCTAGTCACACACGTAGTCAGGTTTGGCAGAGAAACAAAACTTCAGATTGTCGGTGTTCCTGCAAAAACCTCTTCCAACAAAAAACCAAAAGACGAGCGCTGTGAGGACGGCGCTGCATCTGAACGTCGTGCATTTGGAAAAAAAATGTGTGCTTCAGGATCCAGCTCAAAGTCTTTGAAATGTCGCTGGAGCTTCACGTCGAGTTAAAGTCGTTTTGTACAAACACAGTATGAAACGTCGCTGTAAACAACCACGGAGACAGACGTTTATCAAACCAACCAACGAAATACTCCTCAGATACTTCTGTTTTGGCCACAAACAGAGCAGAAGACGCCTCAAACTGATACAAAGCCTCAGAAAATAAAGAGCATTTTGTGAATCTATGAAAGAAAAACCAAAGGGATTGTTTTTAAATCGTTAAAGTTGCAGCTCCTCTCTCATGTCAGCTGGTATTGGTCATGATTTACGCTGTCGAGAGGCGAAAACGTCAAAAACCGACTTAACTTCTACACAAATAATACAGAAACAGAACCGAACTGATGATCAGATCAGATATTTAGCATGTTTTTTAAACCGACTGGTTCGATCTGATCGCTCTCTTTTGATTAACCCTCTGAACTCCAAACACTTTCTATGACGTTTTTGTTTTCTGTCACGTTTTTCCTCACTGTTCGGCTCATTCTTCATGACAGTATAAAGTCCTGCTGCACCTCTGTGGAAACAGAACAACCACGAGGCAGCAGAAATGTGTTTTTTAAAGCAGCTGAATGACTGAATTATGGACTAGTTGAATTTCTTGGATAACTTATTTTACAAAAATTGAAAAACAAATTAAATAGTTCTTTTTTTTTTTTTAACATTTTCTCCAACTTCAGATATTTTTCCAGCCTTTACAAACGTTTTCTCTCGCAGCAGAAACCTGTCTCACTGTGCTGATCGTATCCTCCAACTCTGTTCACTGTTTCTTAGCAGCATTTATTCTATTGATCCAGGAGGTTTTATTTTCCTCTCAGTCTCTACAACTTGTCCTCGACTTTCATCTGCTCTGTGGAGCCTGTAGTTCAGCTGAAAACTCCCAGATTTCTTGCCACATGACTGCTGCTCACAGCTGAGCCACAAACGGCTTCTCGGTTGCGCCAAGTTGTTCAGAATATTTTGTTTTTGACGGAATCTAGTTGTAGAAAACGCTTTATTTGTGGTCGTATTTTAAATCCACGCAAGCAGAATGAAGTCATGTTGAAAATTTAAGCTTGGATTTGGTTCATTTTTGAAGTGGAAAGTTCAAAATTTTTCCATTTTTACAGCTTCTTGCTCCGATAAATGCAGTAATTTTAGCCATTTTTTAAACAGAACGTGCTTTTTAAACCTGCTGGTGGAGTTTGGGGTTCAGAGAGTTAATTAAAAATGGGTGAAACATAAATAAACAAAAGAGTTTCTGTTTTGACACTAAGATTTGACCGCATATATCAGACTCCTTATTACTAATAACTGTTACTGGCCCTTTATCGAGCTGAAATACTTGAGTGAAGAAGAACTGGTTGGTTTTCTAAACATCTGTCTGCAACAGTTCAGGCTGTCGAGCGCCATGAAGCTGCTGGAGCTTCACGGAGAATCCTTCCTGTCTGGTTCTTCATGTCGGTGACAAACAGCTTCATGTTCTAAAAGCTGTTCTGAATCTTGAGGTCCGTTTAATCCCACAACTGCAAAACGAGCCGAACAAACACCGGAACAAACTTCTTCCTCCCTCCGAGGTGAAGGAGGACAAACGCCGGCCGGGGTTTCGTCGTTTCCCACCGGACGGCGTGAGGAGGCTCGTCTCCTTCGTGATGGGTGGATGAGAGGCTGGTGGAGAGGCGGAGGCGGGGGAGGTGGTCCCGTCTCCGTGGCAGCAGCAGATCCTCCGCCGAGGACGGAACCGTCGCCTTAGGTGATCTTCTCGTGCTGGATCTGGTAGTAGCAGGCCTGGAGGCGGGAAACACACTCATTAGTTTATTAATTATTATTTTACTACTTAGAGTTTGTCTCCATCTCTGCTCTGTGTGAACACTGCCTGCAGTTCAGCTGAAAACTCTGAATTCTTGTCACGCGACTGTTGGTCACAGTGGAGTCGCTGAAGGCTTCACAGCTGCACAGACGGTGGCAGAATTTTTAGTTTTTACAGAGTCTGGTTTGGACAAACAGTTTAATTTTAGAGAACATTAAAATGCAACAAAAAGCGCTTTAAAGCAAAGAAAATATGCGCCGCAAAATGTGCACAGTAGGAATGTCTCTGCTTTTAAAGAGACATTATAAAAATAAATAAATAAATAAATAAGAAATAAAATAAAAAAATAAAAAAAATAATGTAAATAAATAAATAAATAATTTTAAAAAATAAAGAAATAAATAATTATTATTTTTATTATTTTATTTATTAGTCTTTATATTTCTACTTTTATTATTTTTCTCTTATATGGATTCACTTTTTTGTTTATATTGCTTTATATTGCCACATTATTTATTTCTTATTTTATTTATTCTTCTTTTCATTTCCACTTTTTAAAAAAAAAAATCTTTCACTGATTTATTTTGTAATTTGGCGCTCTCACTCCTCCATAGCAACATGTAGAGTAAAATCCTTTTGATGAAATACAGTTTAAAGGCCATTAATCACAAAAAAAAACAACAAGCAAAAACATTGAATTTCCTTGATTATTTGTGTCAGAAAAGTAAAAAAAAGAAAACTGGGATCAACATGTACAAGATGACTTTCAGCTTAACAAGTTTAAATATTAAGGTGAAGGTCCTCCAGTGGGACTTCTGTTGTAAACTAACTTGAATTAATTAAAGATTTGTAGTAATTTCTGTCTCTTTGTTGTGGTTTTGAGTCTTTTTGCTGCAAATGCTGTTCCTCTGTGGTCATTTAGTTTTTTATGCTCATCTTGTGGTCTGTCTGTGTTTCTTTGTTGTCTGTCTGTGTTTTTCTTTTGGACCAAAACTCAACAAAACTGACATAAAATAATAATAATCATCGTTGAGGCTCAGACTCCTCAGTGTTCTTAATCATGGGAAAGAGACTCATTCTGAACTAAAGTTTCTAGTCTCATTGTTAGATTATTTATTTATTTATAATTTAACATCACTGAAGAAAAACTGGAGCTCCACATGTTCCAGGTTTTACTTTCTCTTCCTTCACCTCCTCTCTAATCTATAATTAACACTGCCTGCAGTTCAACCTGGAGACTCTAAATTTATGTTGGTCACAGCCGAGTCAGTCGTGCCTTCATGTTTAAGTTTTTTTTACAAGCAAGTGTAGATTTTTTTTTTTGGCAATTTTTACAATTATATACGAAGAATAAAGTGATTTTGGTGAAATAAATGATTTTAAGCTGAGATTTGGTGATTTTTTCTAGAAGAAACAGAGATGATTAAATTGAGGAATCTGTTTTTACAGGCTTTGACAAAAGGTGTAATGTTGTTAATTTCTTTAAAGCTTTCCAAGCGTACCTTCAGGGTGGTGAACATGATTCCGTGTTCTCCGTGTTGAACGCAGGGATCCATCAGGTCTTCGATCAGACTGACCTCAGAACCGAGGTTCCTGATTCTGAAGGGGAACAAAAAACAAACAGATCATTCTCATGAGATGTTGCTCCTGAATTCTTTGGACAATATTATGTTAAACTATATTGTCTGAGCTCTGGGTCATTTTCACTTTAACGCTCTAATCTCGGTCATTAGAACAACCAGTCACACATGATGTACTTTGTCTTTCTCTTTCTTCCATCGCATTTTTGTATAATAATATTAAATTTGCTTTTTAAAATCTTTGATCCTTCTTTATTTTTTTTTATTCTTGCCAGTGTTTGTCTTTTATGCACCAAAATATCCTGTCAAAGTCCTCATATGTGAAATCTTACTTGTAAATAAAACAGATTCTAGTTTCCAGAGTCAAAGGTAACGTGTTTAAATATTGAACTTTGCCTAAAAGCCAAAGATGTTCCGTTTGTACTCATATATGAATTTAAAAACAACAAGAAATGATCAAATTTAAGAAGCTCCAACATCAAGGTTTTTCCATTTTTGCTCTCTGGTTCTGAAAACCTGAATATATTCTTTACTGGAACTGTTTATTTAAAGCAGATTTGTTTCTTCTACAGTGTGTTTAGTGGTTCTGTGCTGCTCTGTAGAACAACATGCGTTTGGTCCTGACCGAGCTCTCAGCACCACGTAGAGGAAGACGGGGAAGAGGTCGTCCATGGACCACAGGAAGTCCTGCTTCAGCAGCGCCTGAACCTCCTGCGTGATCTCCTCGAAGGTGAGCTGGATCACCTGCAGCTTGTCCGACGGCGTGAACGTTGTGCTGCAAAAGAACACGACGAGGATCAGAAGGAGTTCGACTTCTTCTTTATCCAACAGCTCTGAAATCATCTCTACCTGATCTGCTGAAGGGTTTCCACTGCAGAGGCGAAGCAGGCGTCTTTGGTGGTGGACATGACCTGAACACAACACAACAAACACGGTTCACTTCCTCTTTCTATATATTGTCCTATTCCCCCTCTGAACCACAGAACCTACGGGTATGTTATCCTTTAAAAACTGCCAAAGAATCACGTGTGATGTGCCGTTCAGTCTGAAAAGTGAATCAAGTTTCAGCATACAATTCTGATATTTTGTCAAAATCGCGTCATTCTAGATGTTTTATTTAAAAATTTGCCAAAAATAAACAGTTTGCTCAAACTAGATTCTGCAAAAAACAAATAATTCTGCGCTCCTCAATGCAGCCGAGAACACGTCAGTGACTCAGCTGTGACCGACAGTCATGTGGCAAAAATTCAGAGACTTTTCGGCTGAACTGCAGGCTGTGTTTACACAAAGCAGAAAATGAATGAGTTTCTTCTCTTCTCTAATTCCAACTGTGTCGTGCTTCACAGAAGACATTTCTGAGCTCTCTCTGCTTCTAGTCGTGGTTGTTTTGTTTCCACAGAGGTGCAGGACTTTATATTACAGTGAGGGAAAATGTGAAAGGAGCAGATATTACACAGAAACTGCTCAGTGGGTTCAGAAAACTGTCTCTCAGGTCAATTTGGGCTCAAAATTTTGCATTTTTATGCTGTATGGTCAAAGAAATTTCTGAAAAAAGTAAATAAAAGAGCTATGAATCCACTAAATGATTAATAATTTTAATTTTGGTCTTCACAGAGAATTAAAATCTGCAGGAAAACTGGCACAAAAAAGCAAAAATCTGCTGTTTTCTCCATTTTCAACTCCCAGAAACTGCTTGCAGATCAGACAATTCAACATAATCCAAAAACACAAGATAAACAAGCAAAGAAGTCTTAAAATAAAGCCACAGATTTAAGTCAGATGTTGATTTAGAATCTAAAAACATGACCAGACTGATACCTGCTGCTTCTCTCCAGGTGCAGGTAAAGACGTCGGGATGGAAACGGGCCAAAACTTCCTGAGGAGGAACAAATAAAGAACAGATGAAGTCACATGTTTGCACAGAAGTCAGAGTGTTTGGCTGCTCTGCGCGACGTACTGCTGGACGCCCAGGAAGGCGAGCAGGGCGAGGTCGGGCTGCTTGTTGAGGCGCAGGACGCACTCCCAGTACACGTCGTCCTCCCGCTCCTTGTCCAGAGCGTAGAGGGTGAAGAGCGGCGGGTAAAGCCGCGGCAGCAGGACGGGAAGCAGCAGCGCCGAGCTGCTCACCACGCGGCTGAAACACAGACAGACAGCAGAGGGACGTTAATGCGAGCCGGTCGAGCTGCGATCGTGGTGGAAGCTGCATGGCGACGTACCTGGGTTTGGGCGACTCCAGCGGGGCGTCGGAGGAGCCGCCGTCCTTCCCGTCCTGGAGGCTGCTGCTGGTGGTGGTCGGCTCTGGAATCAGACCGCCCTCCTCTGGCAGGTCAGGGAACAGAAACCTGAGGGGGCAACACAAGACATCAGAGAAAACACCAAACAAGTTGGATTAAATTTAAAAAAAATTAATTTAAAAAAAATTAAAATTGTAAATTGTACATATGGAAATCTTTGTGTCGTATTTTTTTTTATTTTAACATCCTTATATAATTATTTGTTTTGTGCTACTGTGATAAAACAATTTCCCAGGTGGATCATTAAAGTTTATCTAAGTCTAAATAAATACAAAGCTTGTTCATGTAGGATCCAGAGAATCTTTGGACTTGTTGGACATTAGTGCTGAGTCAATCCAAACTGGTACTTGGATGTTTATTTATTTAGTTTTCTGTTGATATTTCTGAAATGTTTTCATCCCGTCGCTGCTGTAACGCTGCACGTTTCTCCACTGTGGGATTAATAAAGGTTCATCATGTTGTCAGTAGATCAGGAAACACTCTTCTACTTTTATTTTTGACACCAATATCTTTACCAAAATGTTTTGTTTTTGTCAAACTGCTCAATCAGTTATTAAACTTCAACAAAAATAAACATTTTTGGGACCAAGTATTTCATATTTAAGGAACAAAAAAAAATTATAACGCAGAAGTCAACTGGGGATACTTTGTGAACCATATGAACGTCCCAATAATACAAAACACCAAACTGCTGACGTCTTAAATGTGACAAATAAAAAACAGTGACTTGAACAACAGGTTTCATTTGGTGGGCAGGTCAGTAAACTTTTCAGCATTTTTTGGCACCATTTCTGCAGAAATGTCTTCATTTACCTAAAAGAAAAATGCTAAATTTAGGCATTAAGATTTCCTAAATTTGAATAGTGTTGAATTTACAGTGATTGTCAAACATTTAGATCGGTATCGTGAACGTGTTTTCTTGGAAGTGCATCTAAATGTCGTTGGACTGCTGTCTCATGACAATAAAGCGTCTCATCTTTAAGTCCTTTGCTTCCTTCATGTTTATAAACGGGTTGAACTTTGTTAATATCGACTTAAGCGAGGAATTTCCACCATTTTTACACAAAAATGCCAACTCTTTCATCACTTCAGCCTCTCAGTTTGTGAACCGTGTGGTCGGCGGCGTACCTGACGATCTGGAAGATGCGGTTGAGGTAAGACTTGATCTCGTTGACGGCCTGAGGCAGCAGCCGGCGGTTCGCCCCGACGCCCACGTAGGTCATCCGGTAGACGGCCACCAGGGTCTCCAGCAGCCGGCCCAGCGGGTGGAGGGGGGTGTCGCACGCCTGCAGGGACATGGTTCAGCGATAAGAGCTCAGAATCAGCTGGAGGAAGTTCAGTTATGCTTCCGTTAAGGCAACAACACTGTCCCATCATGCACTGGTCAGACTGGAGAGTTTCAGACGCTTTGCTTCCATAAAATACAAATAAAAAACATCCATAATGCACATTTAAGTGTTTATTTTATTACACTTTGTCGATTTGCATCCTCAAATTTCAATTATAACACATAACTTTGAGGAATGCCTTTGAAAACTGAGTTTTTTCTAAAACTCAGAGCCACAAATCTCCACTTTAGCAGCACCTCCACTTGTAAACTTTCCAGTTTTATTCTTGTTTAGATTATAAAGTTTTAACAGAAGGGTTTGTTCATTTATAGGATTCACTTTATTGATCGCTCACAGAGGAAATTCACAAGATCCCATCCAAAGCCAGATTTATAGAACATTCTTTACGAAACATCCTTTATTTTCTGATTTATAGAGTGATAAAAAAGAGAAATCCCAGCTGTAAAAACAAAATGAAACAAGAACTTTGAAGCTTCAATGTTTCATCCGAAACTTTTTTTTTTCTGGACATGAACGCACATTTTTAGATATCATAAATACCTTGTGATTTTTCATCAAAATCACTTTTTTTTTTCTAAATGTCTCAATTAAAACTTTGCCAAAAATTAACTGTTGGCATGAAACTGATTCTGTAAAAAACAAAAAATTTGGTTCTCCTTCATGCAACTATGAAGCCACTTGTGATTCAGTTGTGACTAACACTGACATGACAAAAATTCAAAGACTTGTCGGCTGAACTGCAGGTCGTGTAAAATTTCTATCGTAAGTAGAGCCACTGCTTTGTTTTTTAAGTTTTTGTAACACCTTTGGGGATGTGAAATGAACCAAATCTATTTTAAAAATCTTAATATTTTGATTAGATTCCCTTTATTCTGCATGTTTAAACATTTGCAGTAACCGGATTCTGTCACCAGATTGAGGTTGTGTGATTATTTACAGATCAATTAACCATCTGAATACCAAAACACACATTCAGGGTTTATAAGGCAAGAAGTTTTAAAAAAGAATTACGAAAATTATAATATTTATGAAAGCAAGAAACTTGGATTTTGTTGTACATGTTCATTCCAGTTTTTTGTTGTTTTTTTCCATTAAATTTTTGTAGCATAAAATGTTCAACTTTGACTTCTGGCATCATAACGGTGTCTTTCAGCACAGAAGACATTTCTCTCTACTTCTTCATGGTTGTTCTGTTTCCATAGAATTAATATTGCAGCGAAACAAAAGAGGAATAATGTGACAGGAGCAGCTACAGACCACCTGCAGCCAGTGGTCCATGCTGGTGAACTGACCTTGATGAGGTAGAGGCGGATGCTGTGGTACCTCTCCATGGTGATCGGTCCCGTGTGCTGAGGAATCACCTCCAGACTCTCCAGAGTTCTGCTGTGGCTCCGAGACAACACCTCCGGACTGAAAACACAAACGTCAGAGTCGTACGTCGGCGTTTAAAAGCGGTTCAGGCCGTGTTTGTGGAGGACCTACCTGTCCTGGATGTGTCGCAGGTTGGTGGTGAGGGCCACGGCGATGTTCTCCCAGGCCTTCGGGTTGTCTCCTCGACCCGGAGAGTCGCAGCCCAGCTGAGTCCAGCACTCCTCGAACACCGCCTGCCACTTGTCCTCAGCGCAGACACACAGACGACCCAACCTCCTGCAACAACGCATGAACAAAATACACAAAACGCATCACAAGATATAATAATTATACCCTCAGTTTATTATGACTGTATCCGGGATATTCCAATAAGAGGGCTGCAACGACGCGACTCTCTTTGATGTGCCCTAGTTAATGTCAGACAGTGTGTGAATAACTCAGTGATCAGATCTCATGTGAGCAGGTAAATGAGAAACAAACCAACACGTTGCCTTCTGCGGCTGACCAGGGTGGGGTAATCTGCCACGCATGACCGACACTCGACCCGTGAGCCGAAACCATTAGCCAACCAAGACTTTAAACGGCCAAAAGTTATTAATGGATTCAATTTTGTGGAATTTCGTTCTGACATAAACCAGGATTCTGACATTATTCTATGACAATAAACAGGCTGTTTTACTATAAGTTATACAGGAAATGATTCTATACTTTATGATTATAAACGGGATGTTCTATGAAGCGGTGTGACATCAAGTGGGCAGCCCTGAATGCTGTTTTGGTTCTTGATATGTGTAAATGAAACATCGGCATCACTCCAAAAACCTGTCGGCAGCTTTGAAACGCTGCTATCTTCAAAAACAAACAACAAAATGACACCATTTATCAGCCAGAAACTGTAAAAACAGAAAGAATTGATGGATTTTTGTTGTAATTATTACCAAAACTTCCACTTTATATTGTAATATTTCATCAAAGTTGCTTTATTCTATATTTAACTGAAAATAAACAGTTTAAATTGAACAGAATCTGTAATAGACTAAACAGTCTGCGCTCCTTTATGCAGCTGTGATTGAACTAAAGACTTTACTACTGAACTGCAGGCTGTGTAAAATTCACCTATCATCATTTTTGCTTTTTTTCTGATTTCTGGAGTGAAAAATGAGCCAACACTGATGAAAAAACGCAAAAAAAATGTCTAGAAACTGCTCAGTGGGTTCATAAAACTATACATCTAGAGTCAAACTGGGCTCAAAACTTTGCATTTTTATGATGTAATGTTAAATAAATTCTAAAAAAGAAGCAAATAAAAGTGATTTAACTTCACCAAATGGTTCATAATTTTAATTTTAGCCTTCAAAATCAAAACGTTGCAGTGCAAATACACCCTCTTGCAACTAAAATGAATAAAACCTGCAACACAACAGGTGAATCAGAAGCTACGTTCTGTGAACACGCTGCCAGCTTACACGGCTCTGGTCTTGTCCTTGTCGGTGTCAAACAGGTGAGGTTTGAAGTAGGAGCCCGTCACTTTGAGGCCGGAGCCCCATTCGCCGTTGAAGGAGCCCTCCAGGTAGTCGCCGTTCGCCATCGTCAGCACGCCCTGAGGAGGAGACGGCCGGAGCGCTTTAGTTAAATATAACCGCACATCTGTACCTGCTGCTTTAAATCAAAGTTGTGTGAAGCTCAAAGGCAGCTCGTCTTTTAAAGACACAGCAAGACATTTATCAGAGCCAGAAACTGTAAAAGCAGAAATTAAATTTCAAAAAAATGCCAACAAAAATAAACCATTTGCATTAAACACAATCTGTAAAAGACAAAAAATTCAGTGTTCCTTGGTGCAACAATTGAACCATCTGTGACTCAACTGTGACCAACATTTATGGGACAAAAATTCAAAGTCTTTTCAGCTGAACTGCAGGCTGTGTATAATTCAGTTTTTTTCCAGACTAGTGAAGTGTCTGAGTTCTCTCTCCTTCGAGTCCTGGTTGTTCTGTTTCCAAAAACATGCAGGACTTTATGCTGCAGTGAAAAATGAGCCAACAGTGAGGAAAAATGAGAAAAAAATGCCCAGAAACATTTCAAGTTCTGTCACTTTTGGCACCAATCTTTGCATTTTCATGACATAATATCAAAGAAATTTTAGAAAGAAAGTCCACTGCAGGATTATTAATTTCAATTTTGACCTTTAAAAAACAAAAAATTCACACAGTAAAAATTTTTTTGCAGGAAAACTGGCAACAAATGCATGAAAATCTTACACTTGTCTCCATTTTCAAGAGCTAATAATTCCAAATCTGGCCTCAGCTGAAGCCATTCAGACCCGCTGTAAACTATTCTGTGTGTCGAACCAGATTTCATGCTGTTTTTTTGTACAGAAAACGATCCCACAGTGAGTAAAAACGGTGAGTTCAGGAGGTTAAAACACAGTCTGACATTTATTCAGAGCACCTTTCCACTCAGGGTCCAGTCGTCGGAGAATTCGCCCTCGTACGTCGTGTCGTCCTCGGACAGAAGGATCCCGGTGCCCTGAAACACAAACAGCTGCTGATCATGGCTGCTGCAGGGCTCAGCTCAACTCTACTGTAATAACATAATGTAGCAGTGCAGCGTAAAACAATAATCCTTGCAAACCTGAAGATGCCGATTGAAACAGTTTTAGTTTACTACTGACAGCCTGCAATCTCAAATATTGAACGTATTTTTTACCAAAATTTTGATTACTTCAACACCTTTTTAAGTAAACTTATCAAATCCTGCATAAATCCTTCCCACTTATTTGAGAAACGATCAAACATTATCAGTTTTGGATGATTAAATTAACAATTAAGTGTGTTATACGTTCTATTTCAGTGCAGTTTTTTTGCCTGTGCAGCTGCTAGTTCTTCATAACTTTCTTCGTTTTTGCAAATTTAGTGAAAAAAACCCCAACATACTGAAGATTATTAAGTGACCGCATGTTTTTAACCACTTGTACACACTTTATTTAGTCTTCTGCTTCTATATTATCAAGCATTTAATGTGTTGGAAGTTGAAAATGTGACATTTTGTGCACAAAGTTATTTTCGGAGCACTGGACTAAACCACAGCAGGGTTTTTCTCTCTTGCGTACCTCCTAAACATCTCCTCCTTCAATAAAAAACATAACTGTCTGATCATTTTGTTGTTTTTTTAAGGCTCCTTCGTAGTAAATTGAGAATTCAGTGCGTTCTACTTCCTGTTTCAGTGCAGCTTTTTGTCTGTGTAGCTGTGAGTTCTTCATAACCTTCTTCAAATTCGGCAAAAAAACCCAAAAAAATCAACCATTATTATGATATTCAGGATGACTGATTATAAAAACAAGTGTTGTGCATGTTTTTAATCACTTGCACACACTTTTCTTTGTGTTCTTCATCAGGAATTTAATGTGCTGGAGGTCGAACATGTGACAATTTGTGCACAACCTTTGTAGAAATTATTATTTTAGGATCAGATCTCCACTGGTTTAAACCACAGCTGGGTTTTTCTCTCTTGTAAACCTCCTAAACATATTTTTCTTCAGGAAAAAACGAGCATTTTGTTGTTTTTTAAGGCTCCTTCGTAGTAAATCGAGAATTAAGTGCGTTCTATATCTTGTTTCAGTGCAGTGTTCTGTCTGTGCAGCTACAAATTCTTCATAACCTTCTTTGTTTCTACAAATTTGGTTAAAAGAAATCAATTGTTATTATGACATTCAGGTTGACTGATGACAAAAATAAGTCTTGTGCATGTGTTCTGTGTCTCTGTATTATCATTTGATGTCAAAAATGTGTATTTTAGAGCCAACCTTGACTGAATTACTTTTCTCTCCTGCAGCTGCTTCCCAAACTTTGATAAAAGCCTGAACTCACCATCATCTTGTTGTCCTTGAAGGCTCCTTCATAATAAAGGCCGAACTGGGTGACGACGACGCCGGTCCCCTGCCGCTGGTGGTCCTGCCACATGCCCATGAACTTCTCTCCTCTGGAAAACAAACATCATTAGAGGAAAAAGCTTCCATCTGGTTTCATTTGTGTGCGTGAAACTGAGCCTACTTGGTGATGTCGTCGAAGACCCCGTAGCCCGTCTTCTTGTCCTGCAGCCACTGGCCGATGAAGACGCTCGGCGACGACGTGTTGAGTTTGCCGCTGCGCAGCATCCCGTGGCCGTGACGCATCCCGTCCTGGAAGGATCCGTCGTACACCTCCCCGCTGGCGTACCTGAAGTCAGACCGACGCCGTTCATGAGAATGTGTCAGCCAGTCATTAACAGGCGCTACTTTTAATTACGCTTCAGGACAATCTCGAGTCGATTTGGGGTTAAATGTTGAACAAAACATCATCAAAAGCCAGATTTTGAGGACATTTTGTTCATAAAAAAACATTGTGAAAATGGATTTATTCGGTTTGCAGGTGGTATTTTCTGATTTATAAAGAGATAAAAAGGAGCAATTTCCACTAAAAAGACCTGAGACTCAACTACATCAACCAAATAAAACAGGCTCAGATGGTTTTTCTGGCAATAAATGCACATTTTAAATCAACAATACCCTTTGATTTGTCCACTGATTTGAGTCCACTGGATGATAACTAATTTAAATGTTTGGTTTTCAAAAAATAAATCACACAGTGAATCAAATTTAGCAGGAAAACCAGCAACGAAAAAATTAAAATTTTGCACTTTTCTCCATTTTTTAAAGGGCTAATTCTGAAAAATGTGGCCTCTAGTAAAGCTTGTTCTGTTTCCATCGAGGGGCACGACTTTATTTTGAGTGAAAAATGAGTCCAATGTGACGGGAGCAAGTTAAATGTCCAGAAACGAGTTGTGTCTGCTTCAGAAGTTACATAACTCTCATGATAATAAATGTTTAAAAGAAGCATTTTATGGCTTCATACAGTCTTAATGAATTATCATGAAGCCTGATGAAGACATATGAGCTAAATGTCAAACATCAAGTCTTCGTTCATCCTGAATCCAAACAGACAGAACCTCTCCTGTCTCTGTTCACCTGTACGTTCCCAAACCGTTCATCTTTCCGTCTTTCCAGTGGCCCTGATAGTGATCGTTCTTGCTCAGCGTCTTATTCGGAGCCACGAACTCCCCGAAGCTGCACAAAGACACATAAATACAGAAATATAACACATAAATACAGGATAACGAACAAGACTGGATCCTCGGAGTGACACTGGTTGCGTTGGTGGACGCTCACCCGTCCTCCAGGCCGTTCTTGAACGCTCCCGTGTAAATTCTCCCATCAGGCCACTTCAGCACTCCTCTGAAAAGATCAATGAATCAGATGTTTAGTAGGAAATATGGACACTTCCATACATATAAATATACTTAATGGAACTTTCTGAGGCAACAATACCACTCCCCAATGAACATTTTGCACTTTCCTACAGTTTTAGGGAGCCAATAAACATTAACTATTGTCATTTTGGACATTTGGAGTCATTTTGGACGCGTTTTAAGTTATTTGTAGACAATTTTGAGTCATTTGAGTCAATCTTTGAATCACTGTAGACATATTTTAAGTCACTTTGGACAATTTTGAGTCATTTGGGTCAAGCTTTGATCATTGTAGACATAGTTTGAGTAATTTTGGACGACTTTCAAGGCATGTTAGACACATTTTGAGTCATTTTAGACAATCTTTGAGTAGTTCTTGCAAATAATTCGGACACGTTTCAAGCTATTTGAGTCACCCTTTGAGCCATCATAGACATATTTTCAGTCAGTTTGAACAGTTTTGAGTCATTTTGGATGACTTTCAAGGCATGTTAGCTACAATTTCAGTCATTTATGACACACTTTGAGTCACTTTGGACAAATTTAAGGCATGCTAGAAACATTTTCAGTGATTAAGACATATTTAATGTAATTTCAGACGTATTTTGGACCATTTTGAGACATTTGGAACAGCTTTGGACAACTTTAAGCCATGTTAAACACAATGTCAGTCATTTTAGACAATTTTGAACCTTTCTAGACAAATGCTGAGTCACGCTGGATACCGCTGACGTTACTTCAGGCAATTTCAAGTCATTTTAAACAAGTCCGACATCATTTTGGTCAAATTTTGAATCATTTTGAAGTCAATTTACACAATTAGACAACCAAACCAGACACATTTCATTCCATTTTGGACTAATTTCACTCATGCTGATCAAATTTTGAGCCATTTTGGACAATTTTTGGGTCGCTGAAGACAACTTGGAGTCATTTCGGACAAACGAGAGTCATCTTGGACTGGTGTCAACTCAAAATAAGATAAACTGGATCCTCGTCTTTTCATACGTCCACTGATGTTCGGGGACTTTAAGTTGATGCAATGTCGACCAAAGACTGCATTTTGTAGTATGAAATATGCTCATCCATGTAAATACACTTGGAGGAACTTTCTGGGCCAGCAGTACCATCCCTACAAAGACACCATCGGCTCAGATCACTGGATGA